GTAAAATGGCACCCTTGTTTCTACATCAAAGAGCACTAAAGTGAGCTCCGCTCTCGATTCGATTCGGCCTCGGCTGCACTATCGACGTTAAGCTACTTCGGTTGTTAAATTTCAATTTGTGACTCAGCAATAGTGTTATCGAGCGCCGAGCACGAAAAGCAGTCCCTCACAAAACTTGAGGCATTTATGTCGAAAATGAGGTGCTAGTATAGCTACCCAGGGCGGTCACTGTTTGTGGATGAGACGTCGAAGAAAAAAAAAATACACGTTTGTAGTGAATACATTAAAACATGTATCTCCGCCAGTTTAGTTTTCATTTTCAAGCGTTCTAATTGTGTCTATCGGTTATATAAAATAAAGTGCTTTTTTTTGCTCGCGCTACAAGCATGGCCGACTCGGCGTCAGCAAGTCGACTATCCCAAACGTTGGCGTTGCAGCGGCAGCTTGTAGTTGGTTTATAAGCCACTGTGATGAAGACGTTCTGTAAATTACCAATACTTCTTAGCTCACTCCCTAAAAAGCTAGCTAGGCCACAAGACCGCGACAATGAAAGTCCATACGGGTAGAGCACGAGCGCATGGAGAGAAGTCCGCTAAATTCGCCCACACAACAAGCTCGCACGTGACGACTGTGGATCAGCAAAGAGTCCGTCCTCCACGGGGGGGGGCACACGACGTCGACACGTCGCGAGGCGTGCGAAGCTGATGTATCGCGCAAGCAGCCCACAACAAGCTAAAGGTTTGACGACCATTGATCAAGCAACTGTCTGCTGTGATGCCACCAGTCAGTGCTGAGGTGTTCACGGACACCGGGGTGAGCGGCTCTCAATGGGCGCTCGGACCGACGTGCGCTATAAAGTTGTTTTTCGTACAGGGCAGATGAGCAAGATACGTCAGTCTTTAGAACATAGATAGTCGTGTGTAGCCCCTAGGTTGGGTACTTGACACCAATACCTCACTGAGAAAAAAAGTTACTTATTAACCCCCCCCCCGTACTCACGGTTTTTTCGAGTACCGGTTATGAAGTATATACACCATGTTGTAGCTGTTTACAACATAAAAGAAAAAAGCGTACTAGATTTTAGTAATAACTTGCGATAAGTACGACCAACGTTTGTGTACGGCAAAAAGCTACCTAAAAGTTTTGACACGTCTATGTTTTGTCATGTAGCTAAGAACATCATCCGAAGGGCAACACGAACTGGACAGGGAGTAAATGCAGCATGATTTCTGCACCTTATATTTGGATAGAGCAAAACGCGAGCCGTGTTACCTGTCTTTGTAAAGGTAAACATCGATTACAACATGTAGAATAGATGCTATGCACTTCAATTGACCAAAACCTGGTTAGCAATCAAATGAACGTCCTACTTGATGGGCCACATCATCTCTTAGATCACCTCAGTCTGGCGG